GGATTGTTGAGAGGTGTCAAAGGTTAAATGACACCTCTGCCTTGCATCCATTATGTGAAGGAGGCTTTTCAAGAAGGACTCATCAAAAATCTAAATTAAGAGACAAACCTGCAGCGCTGAGGTGCAATCATACCCAGGCACTCATGCGTGGATCAAAGCTGAGCGCAGACACAGGGGAACAGCAGATGAAAGCGGAACACATTAAGCTGTTTACTAAGGTGACATGAAAAGGTGTTTTAGCTCAGTATTCAGCCTAATGAGGGTTATCTTTTTAGATATTCAGAGCTGACGGTTCACAGCCATTTGCATCTCTGCTCAACTTCAAAAGAAAACTCAATTTTCTGGCAGGATGATGTCTCATAGTAGAGAGGTCCCTTTAGATTAAATTCACTTTTTCACCGACACGCTTAAGAGCACTTGGGCTTTATAGCTCGCTTAGGGTTCTCCACACTATCACTCTTGGTGCTTGTGAGGACCAACAATGGTTTCCAACCTGAGGTTCAGGACACTGACAAGGAGTCATGAGAAACATTTATAGAGTTTATTTACAGGGGACTAAACAAGGACAAAATGATTTCTACAACCAAAATCCCTTTTGATTTCATTGACGGTCTGTCAGTGTCATTGTGGTTGATAACTAAACATCCTAACTGGTTAGGTTACAATCAACTTTGTACAAACACTATTATTCATCTACTGCTGACTGCTACAGGCTTTGAACATCTGACTTTTCCTCTAGCATCAAAAGTGTGAAATTTGAGGATTTGAGGGAAATTGTTCAACAAATATCTTTACATTTGTCATTAAGCTTTCAATGATTCATGTTCCTAGAATGATTTGTTGTAATATTTATGGTGACTCCTCACCTTTCACTTAAGAGCTACACCAAGATCAGCATTTGGTTTCATGTTGTCTTTGTAATTCATGTTTAATTTGGATTTTTTTATTTCCTGTAGTCTATTTTTTATATTGCCACGCTATTGATCTTACAGTATTTTCAGTATTGTAATTTTCAATTATGTGCAGGCCTATACAGTTTATATATGTTAATTTGTTCATGTTTAAAAACGCTTTGAAGGTTTCTTTAAAAAAAAAAAGCTTTAATTTAATTTGATGTCATTTATATTTGAGTACAATACAGAACATTTGTTCCAATGCATTGACTCTGAGTTGTTTCCTGTGTCCGCTGAGAGAGGGGCTCATCACACATAAGATGAATCCAGAGTGTAAATTGAGGAAAGGCCTTAACATGCTCTGAAGCCTCCATCATTTCTCCCACTGAGTTCAGATCCTGAGCACAAAACCACTACTACACCACATTGCAAACAGATGGATCAAATAGTCAGACAATCCCTTTATTTGGACTCCTCTCTGTTATTGGAAATAATTTGAGTGAGAATTACCAAATCTGGCCTCCTTTCAGGAAGACAAATGGACACAGATGTAGTTTTCCATTTTACAGGCTGTTTATGTCTTGCAAATTCCTTCTCCAGAAGAGCAGGGTATGTTCTTTCATGTTTTAATGGCTTAGAGTGACCACAGCCCTTTGTGGTAAATGCACTTTTCCAATGCTAATGATATACAGTCACACAAGGCTCTGGCAGCAGTGTGCCACTGAGGCTGCGTGCCCACTGTGTAATTAGTGTACCACTAACTCCTAGTCTGGGGAAACATTCACAACCACATTTAACACTGACGGTTTTTCACCTCAGAGAGCCCCAAGCAGCTGGATACACTCTCGATGGAGCACAAATGTCTTTCAACAGCCACTTAAACAGATACAATTTGTTGTCTAATAGTATGGCAAGCTTCTCGGCGGTCCCTACAGGAGTTAGTCTGGAGCCTTAGAAGGATAAAACATTTTTTTATATTTGAAAGTCTCTTGTGTTATCATTTTAAAATGAAAAAAATACTTTGATGAGCCAAACTCCTACAGTGTCAGTAATGGAAATAAAAAATCCCCAGGCCCTCCCAAAAACAGCACAGTACATAAAGAATAGGAGCACTATAATATGTGACTATAAAACATACAGCACTGTGTGGATTTATTGTTATTCCTGAGAAACCCTGCCATCTAAAGGCTACAACACAAACTAAATTTGTCTGCAGAGGCATAAAAAGATCTTTTTCAATTACCTCTTATTTAGTTTTGTAATATCAGTGCATTGAATATGAAAGCAAATGCAAATGTGAAACTGTCCACCTTAAGTCATGAAGTATATTTGTTAAAAAGTTGAACTCCTCCTTCAAGTTAAAGAGAATACATAAATATATACATATACATATATGTGTGAGAAGCATTTAAATGCAGCTGCTATTTGGTGGGTCAGATGTTTTTAATGATTGATATTGTTACTACTTTAACCTGTAATAAAGCCTTGCCTTTTAAAACGATGTAGGAGTAGAAGTATAAAGACATTTCAGGTACTTTCCCTCGCTTGATTTGTATTCTAACACATAAAAGAGCAAAACGCTTAGTTGTTCTGATTTTTCTAACAGAACCTCACATATGTGGTAAGGTATTCTGTGAAATCCTGTCTGCGATCATCCCTAAAGGGCAATAAACTCAGCACATTTCTGATCCCTGGTCCAGTGCTTCCTGCAGACCCGTCTGAAATGTGTCCTTTTGTTGGCAGAGCAGAGCAGGCTCATGTGGAGGACAATCTGCTAAAACCATCGCTCAGACTGAAACCCGCCTTATTAGCTGTAGCTGTCTCATGCATATGTCTCTCTCATCTTTAGGGGTGAGGAAAACAGAAAGGCATGCGTCTCCTGGGTCACATGAAAGCCCAAACACCAGATAAAGGCCTCGTCGTGACCCTGAGTCCATCACAGAGGATAAAGTGTTAAGCGCGGCGGTAAAGGAGCCAATAAGGGAGCAGTCTCTGAGGTGTGTCCCTGATCGGATCTGCAGACGAGTTGTTTTGTGTATCAGTCTTCATGATAGGCTGTTAAAAGCCATCAGGGCGCCATGATCTGAGAGCACACTTCAGTGGAAAGACATATGGTTCTGGTTTAGACTCAAGGAAATTGGATTACAGAAATTCTTCTTAAAACAGCCTGAATTGTTCTTGCCAGAACAACTGTGAGCGGCTGACACAGACGCGACCACAAATCAGTCTGAAACTAATATTTAGCTTCTCTTTTTCATGTTAAGTCACAACAGAGGAGAGGAGGCTCTGGCTTTGTTTCAATAGGCCTTTACATTTCTTAACTGCAACACGTGCTTTCCATCAAGGGGATGTGATTCCACTTTGGGAAGCAGGAGATGCTGGCTATGTGAATGAACACCATCATCATCATCATCATCATCATCATCATCATCTCAGCCGATCTAATAGGAAAAAGCTCACAGGTGTCGATGAAACCGCAGTGCCTGATCACATTCAACACTTTGCCTTAAATCTTTTCTTGAGTAGCGCAATAAACAATTTGGAGCAGAACTTCAGCTCGGGCTCAATGATGTTTCTTTCAAGTGTTTAAATTGAGAGCACATGTCCAGTCCATTGAAAGTAAGTAATATGTTATTGTGATTTTAAAAAGGTTGGAATGTTGGCTGCAGTAAACAAACCACAATAAACCTAAATTCAGTTACGTTTCATAGAATTAGCACAGAGAGAGAGACAGAGAGAGAGACAGAGAGAGAGACAGACAGACAGAGAGAGAGAGAGACAGAAAGAGAGAGACAGAGAGACAGAAAGAGAGACAGAGAAAGAGAGACAGACAGGCAGAGAGAGAGAGACAGAGAGACAGGAAAGAGAGAGAGAGAAAGAGAGAAAGAGACAGACAGAGAGAGAGAGACAGGCAGACAGAGAGAGACAGGCAGACAGAGAGAGACAGACAGACAGAGAGAGAGAGAGACAGACCGACAGAGAAAGAGAAAGACAGACAGACAGAGAGACAGACAGAGAGAGAGAGAGAGAGACAGACACAGACAGAGAGAGAGAGAGACAGAGACAGACAGAGAGAAAGAGACAGACAGACAGACACAGACAGAGAGAGAGAGACAGAAACAGACAGAGAGAAAGAGACAGACAGCGAGAGAGACAAAAAGAGAAAGAAAGAGACAGACAGACCGACAGAGAGAGAGAGAGACAGGCAGACAGAGAGACAGAGAGCGAAAGAGAGATATAGACAGACAGAAAGAGAGAGAGATAGAGACAGACAGAGAGAGAGAGACAGACAGAAAGAGAGACAGACAGACAGAGAGACAGAGAGACAGACAGAAAGAGACAGACAGACAGAGACAGAGAGACAGAGATACAGACAGACAGAGACAGAGAGAAAAAGACAGACAGAGAGAGAGACAGACAGAAAGAGACAGAGAGAGAGAGAGAGAGAGAGAGAAAGACAGAGAGAGAGAGAGAGAAAGACAGAGAGAGAGAGAGAGACAGACAGAGAGAGAGACAGACAGAGAGAAACAGAGAGAGAGAGAGAGACAGAGAGAGAGAGAGAGAGAGAAAGACAGAGAGAGAGAGAGACAGAAAGAGAGAGAGACAGACAGACAGAAACAGAGAGAGAGAGAAAGACAGAGAGAGAGAGAGACAGACAGAGAGAGACAGACAGACAGAAACAGAGAGAGAGAGAAAGACAGAGAGAGAGAGAGAGAGAGAGAGAGAGAGAGAAAGACAGAGAGAGAGAGAGAGACAGAAAGAGAGAGAGACAGGGAGAGAGAGCGTGTGGACAGTATAAGAAAGTAATAAAGCACCTTCAGAACTTAACGAGGTTGAACAGATATACAGACAGAAAGTATTCTACTGAGTTAAGAGCTAGCCTTAGCACTTAGCACGGAGTGACTGATTAGCCCAATAAATAAATACATCGACTTTTAGAAGTAATGAATCGATTTTAAACCTTTGAAGAGAAGAATCTTTTTTTCCCACCTCTACTCAACATGCTAAAGGGAGGAACATTTTAGTTGTCCGCTTCAAAAAAAAAAAACCTGTAACAAGAGGAGACCCCAATCATTAATTTACTTCACAACACGTCGGAGCAGCAACTTGAGAATGAGCGACTTTTATTAGAAAATGATGACAGCCTACGAGACAAATTTAGCCAGCATCTGAACCAAACCAGGAAACAAAAATATAATCATGATGAAATTCCTTTTTTTCCAAAGATCTTTGTAAACAAAAGGGACAAAAACAAGGATAATAAAAACTAAAAAGGTGGTACTCAAAAACATACCAATACAGGAAGAGCGTACTCAGCAGCTTTCCACATGAAAGAAAATGAATTTGTCCGGGGATTAGTGTGACATCTCGTTCTGATTCCTCCACAATGAATCGTCAGATCTTGCGCAATCTGTTCTCCGAAGGCTTTTTGTGAAATCAGATGGACAGTTAAGAAAGTTGTTTCCAGACTTCGGCACACAAAGGCTTCAGATCCTCCTGTAAAAAAAAAAAAACTTCACACTGCCTTCCGGTGGTACTCTGGGGGCGCAACCTCATAGTCACTTGCATTGAAGAGGGATGCAGAGTTCTTTACAAGATACCTGGAACAAAGAACCCATTTTTTTTATATTTCTGTTTAATTAAGGATAACATTTTAGTCTCTACCATTCTGTGATTACTCACTTGAGGAAGTCCTGTAGATAACTGAGCAGCAGTGCGAGGCTCTTTTCATCCAACGGAGTGTACGCCAGCATCGCTCCGATCCTCACTAAATTAAATAAAGACAGAATATCACACTCCAAAGAGCCATCGCCTTGTTTTCATTCATTATGACCTTAGAATCATTTCAATTTTCCACTCCACTCAGCCTCGAACACAGAGGCCTTGAACAAGTGTTTGTCAAACATAATGATCTAACTGATTAGCTCAGTCTGGCTAACGGACTGAGCTAATCAGGATTATTACTTTATTATTACTTGGATTATGGATTCACAACTCTTCTCACTTTGTAGCTACACAACTTAAACTGTTTTTTACAGGAAAAAAAATGTGGTTTTTTTTTTTTTTTTTTTTACCAAAGAGTCTGAGTAGGTGAGGAGCGCCATAGATCTGTGACATAGATGTATCTGGGTGGTTGGCCAGGATGTCTGCGTACTGGGGCCTCTCAAATTTGTAGAGAAGTTGCGTCCCCAGCATGACATTGAAATATTCCCGGATCCCAGCGACCACCTCGTTCACAGCAAACTCCCTGAACAAGGAAGGACAAATTAGTTATATCTCTGTGACATGCACGATTTTTAAACGGACAAACAAGCAAGCGGAGTTTCTATTGCAGTGTCTTTGTGATCTTCCGCGGGTCAGTATGAGAGGATGAAAAAAAAAAACATCACAGAGAAAAAGACAGATAATGATGTTATTTACTTGCTGTCAGAGTTTCCTCTTGATTTCTTGTAGTTTGCATAATCTTCAAGAACTGCATCAACATTCTTTTTGGCAGGTAGGTGGAAAAGCTGAAGACATGAAACACAAAAACAAACCTTCAGTAATGTTCAAGTGAAAAGACATGCGAGTGTAAATTAATGTATTAAAAGTTGTGATAAATGGTTGATGTTTGATTGAATGTCAATGTGTGACCTGTTTTTGCCGTGTAATTAGGTCCCAGTCATCCACAAGCCAAGGTTTCAACTCTTCTGGGATTTTTACTTTAACCTCAACTCGATTTATGAAGGTCTCCTCCTGCACAGAGAGGAACAGATTTAAGAAATGACCCACCAACATTTCTTCAAAGTTAAAAACAGATAGTGTTTCCAAAAAGCGGCAATCACAGAGAACAATCCCACTACTCAGATTCTTTCATTTCAGCTTTGTATGATTTTACATGAGGTGATAATCATCAGTAGATCTCATTTACACTTTCAACTGTTGGGTCAACTCGTGCCCTCTTCTTCCGTGGAGGGTGGGTTGGTTCTCCTCCTGAACTCGTCCCTTCACCTGCACCAGGAGCTGCACCAGACAGAAACACAGCAAACCGTCATTTCATTTAGAACAGGAAGAGAGAGCAAAATGATTTTGACAGTCTATTGTAATGACAAGAGAAACACATTTGTGCAGAGCCTACACATACTATGTGGGTTGTAGTACATTATAACAGTTTTCATTTTGTGCATACACAAGGTGATGAACTTACTCTTTTGTTTGTTCTTTTTGGTTTTCCTACAAAGGAAAAGAATACATGTTTTAGTAAGTAAGAGTAAGTAGATATAACAAAAAGGAAACATAAAGGAAAATAGAATAACTAATCATTTGCACTCACACATCATTCTTTTGCGGTGGAGCAGGTATCTTCTTATTCGGTGCAGCCCCCCTCATTCTCCCTTCTACATAATGGTCTCTAATTAAGAAAAGACAAATGTTAAAATACTTTAAGTAACTCGGAGGAATTTTCTGTTTGTGATGATTTAGTGGCCACCGCGGTGATCTCATCTCTTTGCATTTCCCTATAAATTCACAAGTTATATAAGTTGAGTCTCTAATTTAATTTTTTTTAAAATCGCATCCATCGTCCTTTTAAGTGTCAAACTTACGGCTCACCGACTTTCTGCTGTGG